TTCAGCTTGACACTTGTAATATGCGCAATTACATCTAAAACTTCTTTCCAAAACTTTTGGATTTTTGAGCATTCCCATAGGCAATGCATCAGTGTGCCTTTTCCCCCACATTTAACACATATGTCCGGGGTTTTGGGGTCAAATTTGTTTAATAATGTTGGGGTGATATATGTTCTCATTAACCATTTATACTGAATTAGTTTAAATTGGGTGTTTATAGATTGTGTGTTTCAAAGTGTTCCTTGATTCTTTTTTTAGATACTTTAATCATTTCTATCAACTTTGATACCTGAGGACCAGAGTACACAGACAGCTATGGAGTCTGTCAAATCCCCGGTGGTCACAAATTACCAAGTATATCTGTCATATATGTGCAGTAGATTTTTCTCTGTAAACGACTTTTTCTTTACTATGCAAGACTTGCATAAAACCTGCTACAGTAGGGAGATGTTCACTGACCTCTAAAAGTTTAAGCAGCAAAATATTAGACTGTTCTGTATAAGAACATAGATGTGATAATTTTGTTTTGGGAAATAAAAATACCTTTTATATGATTCTTCTGTCAAGTTGCACACAAAGTTTTTTTTAAAATCGGCACCAGTGAAATATGCTTTTCATTTATTTATTCTTATTTTGTAATTATTTTATATACATATTATAAACCTTTAAAATAAGAAAATCAATGTGCCTGTGTTTGTGTGAATGTTTCTGGTTTTGTCCAGGGAGAAGTACACTCTTGAGCAGGACATCAGGGAAGCAGAGGAGGCTATCAGACATAAGAGTGCCGAGGTGCAGGTGAGGACAGCTTGTTATTTGTCAGTTGGTAGCAACCGGATGTGGACTCAACATAAAATTGAGACACTCTGTCCTTGATGTACGTTTATAGTACTCTGCCACCGTTCATTTCTTGTATATATATTGTAATATATATATATTTTTTTTTTAATTGGCCTTGAGCAGTACTTCTATAGGCTTTCTTGAGGCCTTTTAAAGTTTTTCTTTGAACATTGACTGCATTTTTACTCATTTTCAGTACAGTTCTTGACCATTTTCAGGGGAATATTTATTTTTATTTGTTCAGCCACTTAACACTGAACTGTGAGTCATTCAAGGATAAAAAAAAAAAGCACCTGATTTAAGAAACCAATTTTAAATTGTATCTGTTGGTACTTTGTTACTATCAGTTTGTTACAAAGACAAATAATTTGTTCCCATTTTATTAGGTGAATCTGCAAAATGTCCAAAAACAACACAGTTTGACATGTGTAGAATTGTAATTTTGAACTAACAAGGTGGTTCCCAAAGAGCTGTTAGCCTCAGAATCAGCGTTATTGATCAAGTGTGTGTATATATACAATATATGAAGGTTTGTGGGGGGTTTTAACACTGTGACACCAACCCTCATTTATATAGAAGCACATTCTCCCTCTCCTAGCTTTCCCAGAAAGATCTCTATTGCAATCCACTCAGAGAAATTTGAAGCCCAGCAAATATAATGAGGTATCAGGGAATGTGTTCACCCAGCCCAGTTTTGTTGAAGTACAGGGCAGCATATCTGGAGTTCAGTTCAGTTCAGTTCAGTTCAGTTCAGTTCAGTTCAATTCAGTTCAATTCAATTCAATTCAATTCAATTCAATTCAATTCAATTCAATTCAATTTATATAGTGCCAACAACAACAACACAACAACAGTTGTTATTGTCTATCAGGAAATGCAGAATGACCTGGACAGAGAGACAACCAGCCTGCAGGAGTTAGAAGCTCAGAAACAAGATGCCCAGGACCGGCTGGAGGAGATGGACCAGCAGAAACACAAATTAGAAGACATGTTGAATGAAGTCCGGATTAAGTGCCAGGAAGAGTCTCAGATGGTAAGCGAGAGAGAGCAGTAAGCTGATAATGTAGAAGTTTCCCCTTTGTGGAGTACTGCCTCAGTTATTATACAACAATCACAGAATCAAAATACCTGAAAATTAATGTATTCAATTTCTAATATGCTGTTTTCAGTGTTTGTTTGTTGAAGTCAAAATTACCTTGAGATAACTAGCATGATGCAAAATAGAAGAAAAGAAGAAATCAAACAGATTAATGTAAAACAATTAGCAACGAGCACAGAATGGTCTCTTGGCAGGTTTTAACCTCTGACCCAATCCTTTATGCCACCGTTTTCTGCCTTCAGATCTCAAGCCTCCAGACTCAAATCCACTCCCAGGAGTCAGACTTGCTAAACCAGGAAGAAGAGTTGAGCCGGGCCAAGGCTGACCTGGGCCGGCTGCAACAAGAGGAGAATCAGCTGGAGCAAAGCCTGGCCGCAGGAAAGATTCAACTAGAGACCATCATCAAGTCTCTGAAAGCAACCCAGGATGAGATCAACCAGGTAGGGCACAGATCCTGTTAATGTGTATGTCTAAAAAATGTCAACAGGGGGCACCACCAGAATGTTTAATCCATTTCTTTATCTTGTCAATTAAGTCAGAGGAACCAATTGTGTATGTTTGTCTCAGCTGCTGTGGTGTGGTGTGTCTTCTGTTTCCTGCCAGCCACTGCACACACACACACATAGTGCAGTTTCCATTATTGTTTTATAGCATCCACAAGTTGATGTTGAATTCAGGTCTTGTATTATATTTGTGCAATTTCAGTGGAAACATTTTTTTTGCTCTAAGCAGTGTTTTTCATAGCTATGCCAAAAAACATTACTTGAGCATTATTGTGCATATTTTTCTCTCTCTCTCTCTGTGTGTGTGTGTGTGTGTGTGTGTGTGTGTGTGTGTGTGTGTGTGTGTGTGTGTGTGTATAACAGACAATGCCTTTCATCTTGGCGAAACTGTCTTGTAATGAGGAAAACATATTTAAGACAAAAAAAGCTTTGTGAAACCAGCTTAAAGAAACTGATCAGTGTTTCCTGGAAGCAAACTTTCAGTAATTTCTATTCATTTTAAATTAGCTCAACTTATTGCACTTTTACTGTATGATTTAAATGAGAATTTCACACAGAGGAACATGTTACACCAGTGTCACACCAGCCCAGTGTCACTGGAAATGTTCTGGAAATGTTGTTGTTTTTAACAGTTTGCTTGTATGTATACCTTGCAGGCTCGCAGCAAGCTGTCACAGATTCAAGATAGTCAACAGGAAGTGTCTAAAAGCATTGAGCAGTACAACAGCACCTTGAATGGAAACCATGGAGGCAGCATGACCAACTTGGCTGACATGAGTGAAGGCTTCAGTGACCGAGAGAATGGAGGATTTCCAGCCATGGTGAGAGCAGTACAGGTCAGGATCTTTGATAGAGGTGTGCTTTTATTTTCCAGTGTGCTGTGTAACATTTATTAAGGTCATAGGATTTGGTTTTATAGTCCTGGGTAGACCTGGTGCTCGTTTGTTGTGCCCGATCGTTGTTACCTTTTCCATTTGTGAAGTTCCATATTCACAATTGTGGTGTGGATTTCTTTTTAATTCTTTTTAATTCATCTTGTATGCCATCACAAGTATTTTAAGCAATCTTCATTCATATGCCTTCTTAAATTTTACATGACCTTCTATTGAATGCAACCAGAAGTGTTACATTGTTTTTGACAAGCAAAGATACAGCTTGTGTGACAGAACGCATAAAACTGTAGTGAATCTGATCCCATGGATGTATATGTTATAAAATGTGCTCACATTACTCGTACAAATACAACAAATGAAATAAAACCTATACATATCATAGTGTATAGAAATATTCTGTTTGTCCACAGCAGAAGAGATGATAAAAGCTTCTGTTCTCTGTCTCTTTCTTTGGCTTTCTCATTTCCACAGGAGGACCCATTCAAAGTGAAGCCATCTGTGTTTAACAGTCAACCTCAGGGGCTTCCCACTGACCCCTTCCAGTCTGAAGACCCCTTCAAAACAGACCCATTCAAAGGTTGTCACCCCCCTTAACTTTCACTGCATCACCATCTCTAAGTGTTCCTCTTAATCTTTTAATACAAGTGGCTCATTCCTCTCCTCTGCTACCCTCTCCTCTCTTTACTGCACTGCATGTTGGGAGTATGGGTGAGTGAGTGTCTAAAGATGATTGATGAGTGTGTGGATCACGCCAAATCACAACAACAGTCTCCTCAAGGCATTTTATATTGTAATATGGACCCTACAGTAATACAGACATGAGACTACAACACATAGTCTCTTTTAATATAGGCATTTATGTATTGTAGTGACCCATTACAATATTTTTTAAAGTTAAGTACAACAATGGTTTATACACCATGTAAAACTGGATAACTTTTGACTCTGGTGATGTTGGCCTACACTACAAAAGTTCATCCAGCCCTCATGATCAAAGTGTGGGCATGGGTTTAGGTGAGGAGTGGCAGGCTGGTGACTGTGGTGAGCAACAACTTGCAGGCTAAACGGCAGGCAACAGTTAGTGCTGTCAACGGCAACCCACAAATATCTCAGCATGATACAGTATAGGCAGCACCTGTCTCTCTGAAAACTGATTTGATAAATGATGTTGTTTGAACATCCGTGGAGTCCCGTGGCAGTGTGCTTTACACCACAGCATCTGGTGATGCAAGGCATGTAAGCTGCTGCTCAGCTTTGGAAATAGATTGCATGAAGCTCTCTATGCACAGTTCTTGATCTGATTTGACGAGTACTTGAAGTTTGGAGGTCTGATGCAACTGACTGCAGAAAGTTGGCGACCTCTGTGTACTATGTGCCTCATCATCCGCTGACCCCGACTTGCTGACATCCCAATAATAAAACTGACAGTTGACTGTGGAAGTGATAATGATCAATAATCAGTGGCAATGCTGTCAGAGTTGCCATAGAGACCGTGAGCTCAGGTTGAGCGAAAAAAGACTCTAGTTTCCAGTTTTCCAGCAGTTTTTAATCGAAGCACCTCTTTGACTGAACATGAATAAAGGCAAACTTTATAGTTGCTCCTTTCATCCACAGTCATGACACAGTCAAGTAACAGAAGTTAAAACAAGAGCACTCAGTGTGCACAACTCCCCCCAAAAGGGCAAGGGATGTTTTATGTTTTTCATTACAACATTCTGACGTCAGCCTTTCATGGCATTATTATGACATCGTAGGGCATTGTATTGAAAAAACAAATAAAACCATTTTTTATGGATATTCTTCCAATTTTACATTGATATACTAGGCCTTGGGGGACATGAGTATCTAGGTTGCCCAAGCATTTGACCTTGACCTTCATTGTTAGTGCCTAAGTTCAAGGTTAACCTAGAAATTTTTTTCAAGAAACCATGTTGAGTAACATATCATATAAAAGGGCTTGGATAACTTTCCAACACACCTATTTGTCAATATGACACCCTATGACATCATAACGATGCCAAAAGAAGGATGTTAGCCAAACTAATGTCCTTTATGTACAGCACCACTCACCCCCTGCACTGTGGAGCAGCTCCTAAAGCAGTAGACTGTTATGGTGTAGGTCTGAGGGCCGTTGTAGGTCCTTCATCCAAACAGCAGATGGACTATACAGTACCCACACAGGATAAATAGTGTTTAAAAATACATGTATTTTGTTTATCCCACTGCATTTTATGTAGATATAAAAATTTAAAATCCAGCTGTATAGTAACCAGGGGTGGTATAGCAACCTGCCCATCACCTGCCCATAGTATCGTATTTTGGGTTTTTAAATTTTTTTAATATAACTCTGATTCACCTTTTCTTCCTGTTCCCTGTGCTGCTGTAACAAGTGAATTTCCCCAGTGCAGAATGTAATAAGGTGGATGTCTATAAACATGAACACACATCAAATCTACGTCAACCAGAAGATACAATAGTCAGAATGTTTTTTGGCTCCTCTTAATGTAAGGAAGCCTCCCAAGAGTACAGAGTAAAGACTACTTTATTACCTTAGTTTAAGTTGTATGTATGCCTTATTTTATTTGGCATTGCTATATTTGTTTATTTTTGTATTTAATGAAATGTTTTCTTCAAAAAACCTGATTTTAATACAAATACAATGAGAGGGTTTTTAATTCTTTTGCTGGATCTTGTAAAACACAGAAGTTTCTAAAATGGAATCCAGCAAGCAGTTCATTTTAAAAAAACTGTTGTTTTTTTTTTAAATCCTTTGAATATTTATGGTCATTAAGATGGTAAAAAACATTTATTATCAATTAATTGATGGAATTATCCATTAAATACTCCATTACTAAAATAGTTCATAGCTCCAGCCCTGGTAAGTGGTCTCATCCCTTCTATGCGTTCCTCTCTCCTCTTCTCTACTCCTCAATCTGCGTTTACTGCTTTATGTGTATTAAGTTGTCTTTCCTCCTAATAGCTTATATTTTCCAGCTTGAGTTAATTTATGACTGTCTTTTGTCTTCTTCCTGCCTTTCCCTCTTTGCTTGATTCCTCTCCTGTAGGCGACCCTTTTCAGAATGATCCTTTTGCAAAGCAGCCACCAGTACCCACAGGTATTTACTTCAGGGAAGAAAGGTCAATAATTTTTCTTTTTTGAGAGGTAATTTAATCTTGGGGCAGAAAATAAACTGCAATATTTCATCACTTAAAATGTTGCACTAAAACTGTTGTACACACTACATTGAACAGGTTTAGCATTTACTAGAATGCATGCATGTTTTTTCCTTAAATTAATTACAATAATTCGCATGGAATGCACCTTACAAATGTATCATGTAGCATATTTTTGGGGGGGTTGTTTTTACAACCCCAAGTGTGTATTTTTTACTGAAATATTAAATGGGCTGTACCTTTGAGTAGACACTTTTCTACTCAGCTTGAGTAGATTCCCACCACATGGACCAGCAGAAACACAAAGTACATTCCCACCAAAACCCTCATAGAAGCACTTTTTTGTAAGCCGTTTGCATTTCTTATAGGTTTTTAAACATAGAGAGACTACCTCAATAAAAAAACCAAAAAATCCCAAAACAACCTCTCAGCTCATTGATTATATTGACTTACTCAGAGCTCTTTCCAAGTACTTCTTGGAATACTTACTGAGTTTGTTTTGACCTTTTGGTCCATGCTTTGGTTTGATGTTTTTATGATGCCTATCTGCTGATGCTTTTGTTTACACTTGGCTAGACTTAGCCATACGGTGGGTTAAAAAACATATTTGTGCCCCTGGTCAATTTGTAACTTTCACACTCGCAAAAGAATGAACACTCTCTAATCTTTGTTCAAAATCAGAGAGGCTTTATTAATCCCAGAGGGAAATTGAGTTGTTATAGCAGCAAACATCAAGCACTCATATAAAATGAGTATAGAAACAGACGTATTAATATAAATATACATATAAATATTAAAGAACTTGCTACTATTGGTTTTGTTTAAAAAGACGCTTAGAATATCAGGCAATACTCCAAGAAAAAAATGTTACACAAAAGTTATAATTTTTTTTGTATGAGTCATTGAATGAAGTATTTGATCCTAAAGCAAAACATAACTTACTACTCTCTAAATCCTTGAAGTTTCTTGACTGCAGCTTGGCAACTCAAAGCTTTAGCTCCCTCCACAGATAGAGGATAGAGGTCTGGAGACTGGCTAGTTGCATAATGTTGGAAGACCCATCTGCAGTGTTCCGTCTGAGGAAAGGGGATACAGGACCTTGTCCACTGGCCCCTTAATGTGGTCAAGTCCTGTACCCTTAGGACAGAAACAACCCCAAGGCATGTTTCCAACTCCATGGGGATGGTGTTCTAGGGGTCATGGTCAGCAAGACTTCAATCCATTACATTGTAGTGTCTTACCAGAGGTGTTTTTTGGAGACTGAGGTCCCAGTTGCCTTCAGATCATTAAGAAGCTCCTCCCATGCAGTTTTGGGCTGATCCAATACCTGTCGAATGATCATCCTCACACCATGAGGCAACATATTGCACAAAGCTCCAGACTGAGGGCAATTGATGGTAATCTTATGTTTCACTCGTTCCCAAATAACCACATCAACAGCTTTCCCCTTCTCTTCAAACTTCTTGCTGATGGTCTTGTTTACCAAGTCTTCAGTCTTGTCCCTATCATCCTTTGGCAGCTCATTGGTCTTGCCCATTGTGGTGGCCGGCAATGATGGATTGATTGAAATAAAGAAAGGAAGAAAGAAAGAGAAAGAAATCTGAGGGAGGCAGAATTCTGGTTGGGTTGTAGGGAATCCGCATGCATGCACTGCGGTAGCTGGCCAATACGACGTGAATCGCTTTTTTTCTCAGCTTCACTGTGCAGCAGAGAAACTACAAGCGGCCACGACAGTCAAAAAACACCTTCCCATGTTCCCAGATTTTGGCTCTGCGTTAAGTGGCTACACACATCACTGTGCCTGGCTCTGCACTGTATCTGGAGCTGGATGGTGCGAATGGAAGCTGCCATAGTTAATTCACCACGTATCGAAATGTCCCTGGTGTACCCATCTGACAGCCATCGTGTAGCTGGCCCCTCAACTCTTCTGTCTGAGCACTGCAGATTGTTTCAGCAGGACAAAACTGTATATGTTGTACCACATGCATATGTCTCTGGTCAATGAAAGTTTTAAGAAACAGAGTTTAAGTAGCTCAAGTTCATTTCTGCTGTAGATCCATTTGGAGGAGACCCCTTCAAAGAGACAGATCCATTCAAGGCTTCATCAGAAGACTTCTTCAAGAAAACCACAAAGATGGATCCCTTCTCCACACCAGACCCTTTCAGTAAAAGTGCCACTTTACCCTCCAAGGTACTTGTTGAGATTCAAAGGTGGATTTGTAATGTATATCTGGTTATCCCAAGAAGGGATCAGAATGTTTAGTTTGCTCCCTCTGTTTCTGTTTTAGTGTTAAGTCTCAGTTTTTACAATCGTCAATACAAACAACAGAATTTGTATTAATTTATATTTTCATTTAGATTGAAGGTTTCCATAAGAACCTCAGAGATTTCTGGTTCAGTTGCACCCACTGTAGAGTTTACTCCAGCATTATAAACAAACAAAAAACCCCAATAATAATTAATGCATTAATAAGTACATGGAAAACCCCCTCAATAAACATTGTAGTTAGAATACATTTTCAATTAACATTGTATTGTTTTATATATATTTCTCTCTTTTCTGTTTTATGCAGCAACCTACTACCTTCACAAGCAGTGACCCATTTTCTTCAAGCCATCAAAAACCTAAAGGATCAGGTATGATTTAATACTTCCTCCTCAATAGCTTTGGACATCGTGTAGTTTTTGTAACTACAGAATAAAAGAACTTGTTATTCTTCGTGCTGTATAATATCCAAAAAGGACAGTTTTGGCCAGATACACCATTGTACAGCAGACCTAAGCTCTATTTTGAGTTTAGCTTGGAGTCAATTTTGGAATTTTTTTCAGTTTAGTGTTTGTTTTTGACACAAACATGTTTTAACAAACCTTTATGAATCCATTGGACCTGTTTCAGTAAACTGTGTGTTCTCTGCTGAGATATGAGTGTAGTCTATACAAACATGCTTGTTCTATGGGTCAAGTTGACTGTCACAGTGATTGAAGCAAATTGAGCCTGTCACCACACTCTGACCATTATTTACTTAGCTGAAGAGCACCATGTTAATTTGCCTATTAAAACCCAGGTTGTACGGAAGATGTGTCATGTTGCTTACCCAATGCTCTTAATTGCACTTAATAACTCAGATTTAATCCCACTGATCAATGGACATGAGTACTATTCACAGAGAGTTGGGGAATGGCTTCAATCACAGCATTGTAAGATGGTGACAGATGTACCCTTAGGCCCCCTCCTCGATTCAGAGATGGTCTTTCCATTTTCACGCGAATTTCAGAATTCATCCTGCTTTTTCACATTATGAGTAAAGACTAGTGACTAATTCCACTTACAGTCTACCTATGATATGACTGCCTGGTTTTGTATGCCCGTCTATTCCTTCTCTATTACTTCTTCTATGTTTCTATTTCACCAGAAAGTTGAAAGCTTTTCTGGTGCTGTGCAGACTTGAGTTTCTTTAGCGTTTACATTTTCAGATAAACCTTTTATATTCATATTTTTGAAAATTCCTGTTGATATGTACTATCAACAACATACTGACAGCAAATCAGATTGATCTAGGAGGCAGGTGACTGGGAACCATATTTCTGTTAAACCCTTTTAATTAAACCTGAAAATCTAGACTGCAACACAGCATGATTTCTTCATTCTAAATCTATTCATCTTAACAAAGCAATTTAACCTGATGATGGCTTTGAAAAAAGGTTAAGGTAGTTAATGTAAACTGAGAATGTGGAACGTCAATAAAATTTTATAACAGTATGAACAGTATCCTGGCAGATATAGAAAATCTGGAAATATGTGATCCCAGCCCTACCTAATACTTCCAGGTACATTGAGATTGTTGATATAAATTCAGTGTAACTGTGTCATTTTCAGACCTCTTTGGCACACTGGACCCGTTTGGCAGCAGTTCATTCAACAGCAGTAACACTTCTGTTGGATTTGCAGACTTCAGCCACATGTCGAAGTCCAGAGACCCTTTTGAAGGAAGGGCCACCTGGCTTCCAGACTACCAGAAGGTATGGGTGGTGAACCTCATCTTGAAAATAAACCCTCTACCAAATATATCCAGATCCCACTTATTACATGGGCTCTGAAAGAAAACATATTGACAAAATTAAATCAATCAATTAAACCATTACAATAATACTGTATTGTAGTGGTAAAAGTGAACATTTTTCAAGTTTTCTGTCAATCTCGTGAATGTGATTACTCAAGAAGGAAGTAGCTTAGGATTTTTAAATTGATACCACAAGTGTGTCTACTAGGAGGCTGAGGGGGTAGCACCGGCAGCTGCCAGTTTTGGTTTTTTTTGGTTTTTTTAGTGATAGTTTTTGTAAACTTTGTGATAAATTAAACAGTACTGTGCTTCCCTTGTGGGTGTTGGCTCTCTCCATTCCTATTACAATGCACAGTGGTGTTTGTTCATCCAAAGCACACTACTAGAATAATTTATTTGAAAGCCTGATGCTTTTCCTTGTCCACTTTATTTGGAAAACTCAACAGCCAGTTTTATTTTTTATCTATCATCAACTGATTTCTCAGACTTTTTATTTGATTTCTTGTTCTGACAATAAAAAAGCCCTCTGTAAAGCTTGAACTTACAATTCATCACTGATCGAAGAAAACAAAGTTTTCCTTCAGCACTGCAGTCAGGCTGACAGAAGGTCAGAGCTCTGTTGAACCAAGCATTTTTTAACCCACAGACGTATCATTATGTACAGCTACTTTCAGTACCATTGATATTGAGACTCTAATATAGACTTCAGTTTGTTTATGTTTGTTTACACACGAAGGTTAATTATTCCACAGTTTCCATTACATTTACATTACACATGCTTCCCTTAGGCAGTATCATCAGAAGGCATACATACACATACATACATTTTCACTGCTATGCAGATCTATCCATGATGCCAGATAACATACATCAATTGGTTAAACTGCAGGAATGTCTTAAAGGCATAAAGACCTGGATGACCTTTAATTTTCTGCTTTTTAATTTACTATAAAAACTGAGGTTATTGTACTCGGCCCTGAAAATCTTAGAAATATGGTATCTAACCAGATTCTTACTGTGAATGGCCTTACCTTGGCCTTCAGTAACACTGTGAGGAATCTTGCAGTCATATTTGCACATGTTAAACAAATGTGTAAAGTTTCTGCTTCCTTCCATTTGCACAATATCTCTAAAATTAGAAACATCTTGTCTTACACACGCACACTTGACTCTGAGAAACTAGTTAAATAATCCACCCCCATCTTTTCTTGATGACTTTTTTGGAACCCTATCACCCTATTAGAGGACTTTGCTGTCAGATTATGGGCTTTCTTGTGGTTCATAAAATGTGTAAAAATACAATGGGAGGCAAAGCTTTTAGCGTTCAGGCTCCTCTTCTGTGGAACCAGCTTCCAGTTTGGATTCAGGAAACAGACAACCTCTTAAAGCTTAAAACTTTTGTTTTCGATAAAGCATATAACTAGAGCTGGATCAGGTGACCCTGAATCCTTCCTTAGTTATGCTGCAACATACACCTCTCTGAACTTAATTACTATTGTTTATTTATCGCTGGCTCTCTTCCACAGCGTGTTTTTGTCCTGTCTTCCTGCCCTAACCCCATCGAGTCACAGCAGATGGTCATCCCCCCTGAGCCTAGTTCTGCTGGTTTCTTCCTGTTAAAAGGGAGTTTTTCCTTCCCACTGTCGCCAAACAGCTTGCTCATAGAGGGTCATATGATTGTTGTGGTTTTTCTCTTTTTTTTTTATATTATTGTAGGGTCTTTACAATATAAAGCACCTTATATGAATAAAACTGATTTGAAATTGAATTTAAATGAGCTATCTCTCATTCCTTTATATTTTCTTCCAGACTTTGTTTTATCTCTTTAAGTGGTTTTAGCAATAGTTTTCCAGGCTTTTTGAAGCCTTAAACTATTTCTTTTCTTTTTATTTAGTTTTCCCCTTATTTTCAGTCGAGTTTCAGTCTTGTACCTGATGAATTTCAGAGGAGTGTTTCCTCTGTAGGTCAGTGTTATGTGTTAAGCCACATAACACTGACCCACGAATCATTCAAGTTTAAGAATGGCACCTAACTCAACACATAACACTTGGAAATGGTTTTGTCAGCATGTTATTAGCAGCCTGTCACAAAAACACACCATTTGTTCCAAGTTCTTTAGCTTAATTGATGACGAATCCCAACGATTCAACAGTTTTACTTGTATAAAATAGTATTTTTGCACTGATAAGACTATTCCCAAATCTTGCCATAGCTTGGCTTTAGGGAACTGGAAAAGTGGAGGACAAAACAAGTGGCTGGTCAAAAAAAAAGATACTGGTCAGAAGTTGACCAGTATCTGAAACTCATGTCCTTAGGAAATACGAAGGAAACTAACAAATACATGTCATGAGACCTGAGAAATGCATCTGGCCCTTCAGTTGACCCATTGCTGAAGCCTCATCAGCGTTGGTTCAAGCCTTTGCACAGTAATGTATTTCACTTGCTGGGCCCACTTCCTCATTTTAGGTTTGACAGCGTTTTAGTAGGTATGCTTGACATGAATTGAGCTGCGGTTTGGGGAAGGCATCGAAGGGGACTGGCGACGGCTCCCGGGCCTGGCAGATCCCCGTGTACTCAATAGGAGTGAAGAAGTTAAAGAGTATTGATGATACTGTTTCAAAATGACACATTCCTTTTCTCAAAATTTTTCCAGCCAGTGTTTGTGGATGATCCATTCAGCAGGAAGAATGACATGCCGGCTCTGCCTCCAAAGAAAAGTGTTCCCCCAAGGCCCAAGCCACCCAGTGGTGAGTGTCACACTGTGTAGGCTTTTGAGGTGGCCTAGAAAGGTGCCAGAATTATACAAGAATACTGTTAATAGTATTATTTGCAGGTGTTTGACCTGAACTGTTTTCGTTTGGTAAAGAAAATTTTAATCTTTTAGTGAAGACTAACAAAAATGTCTGTGAGAATCTACTGTGGTGAGTGAGGCTGAACACCAAAAAGGAAGTGGGACTTTAGCTTCTATATCTCAAATCAGCATAAATTTGGGGTTTTACTAAGTGTGATTTCCGCATCACTGCCATGCCCGTAATTACATCTCTCCATAACTTTACAAGCATTGTATTTTTAAAGCCACACTAAACACATTTTATCCATCCGTTTGTCTAGTTATCAACATCAGGCATGATTTCAAATCGTGCTTTCTTTCACACATAAAAAGACAGTGAAGAAATAAAAACAATCCTCCTTAAAATCAAAGATGACCAAAGAGAACAAGTACAATTTAGCCTACGTTTCCATATAACATTGCTTTTGAGAGGAAAATTTAAACAGATTTCAGGTAAGTATAATTTAAAGAAAAATATTGCTTTCAAACGAAAGAGGAGACAGAACAAATTCAGTTTCCAATATGGATCAGGCAGTGACACTGATGAAGCCATTTAGAAAGAGTAGCTTAAACTATTAAAAATAAAATGAAATCTAATGAATTGTGTTTATATAATATGAAATGGTAACACAGTTTAATACAGAAACAGCAGTTAGGGCTATTTATTATGAGGAATGGCAGATAGTAAATAAACAATACATGAAGCTAAAAAGATTTAAAAAAAAAAACAAAACAAACTCACTCCAGTATTCATGAAAAAAATGCATTTATTGATCCATTTCTTATTTTTGACACCTTAATCTACTGTCTTGTGTTTTTGTGTAGATTTTATCCTTGCTTACAAATTGGTGCTTTGTTGTTTGTGTGCATGAACAAGGTGATGTCGTAAGAGACATGATGTGTGGTTTGGTTGGCCTGTTGTTTGCAGACACACCCTGACATACTTCCTCTCTCTTTCCTTGATGTGTTTGTACGCGAGTATTTATGTGTGGGTGAGTTGTTCAGAGAAGGGCATTCTTTAGACTGCAAGCTGTGTGCAGTAGCAAAGCAGCAAAACTTTTTTGCAATTTAAGAAGTTAACAATATTAATTAATATTATGAACTTCTTAAACAATATCTTTAAATATTTAATTAATGGTCTTTACGTTTTCTACCTTATCCTAAACCTAACCCGTCTTCACACCTGTTTATTCTCTGTTATTTTCATTGCTTAATGAAGTGTAAACTATATAACCGAGGGCAGATTTGTGTGTCTGTCTTTTACTGTATTGTTTTTGGTTCATTAAATGCTGCATGTTGCATGTACAATCTTCTGGTAAACATTGAAATTAGATGTGAAAAGTGTAGCAAAATATTTTAAAACAGGGTGGAGCTCATAATTGTGGTTTCTCAAGTGTGTGTGTGTGTGTGTGTGTGTGTGTGTGTGTGTGTGTGTGTGTGTGTGCGCGTGTGCGTGCGTCCATGTATACAGTTTATCGAAAGAGGAATAACTGATCGCCGGGCGTGCACTTTTGCTCAGTGTTGAGTGTGAAATGAACTCACCATTACCCAGATTACTGCTCAGGGGTTAAGTGTTGGATTGTTTAGTCCTCGTGGACAACAGAGCATTTTTTATTCTGGAAGTCAAAACTTATACTGAATAGTCAGTGCAAGGATCCTAGTATGCAACGAATTTAAAGTTAAGAAAACAGATATATTTAGTCTGAATGATTTATGTAGAAGTGAAACAACTAGTAAGTTAACATAATTAAATATGGAATAATTTCAATAAAAAGAATTGCTTTCTGTTTTCAAGTAAAAATGTGTGTGAGAATGTTTTTAATTACTCTCCCGGCATCATTATTATGATGTTTTACAGAACTAAGTTAACAAGAAACAAATCATCCCTAGTGTTAAATGTATAGTTTAACAGCTTTGAATATGCATACTCTATGAACATGGGCACTGGTCTGTTCATCTAGGTGGTAAATTGGGGAACCAGCATTGGGTAACATGGGTAGAAAGCAAACCAAGTGATTTACTAGGAAACCGTTGAAAATCGTTTTGTGGGTTATAGGTCACTACTTTTGGTTTTTGTCTACTGGGTGTGGTCCTTTGCTCGTGTTTTTTCCTATGACAGCTGTTTTCATGTGTTTCCGTTCTCTTGAGAATGTAGTACTGTTAACGGTTTGCACTGGGACCTGATTTGAATTGTATAGTGTGCTGTGTGTGGATGTGAAACTTGTGTGGCTTTCAAAGCTGGCAGGTAACTTTGAGGTGACACTGGAGGTTAAGCAGGTCATGAGAAGAACTATGTGAACCAGGTCTTAATATGCATGGTTTTATGAAAAGCACACAAAATCAGATCTTTTGTTGTCAGCATAGTTGTTTGTGATCTGACCTTGGCCATTTTTATGAGTCATGACATCTCTCAGGTTTCACTGAACCTGTATACCTAGTTAATTTATATCTTTCACTTTGACATCTTTTTAATAGTCCTTAGGTAAATGCTTGTCTAAATGATACTTTCTTGTAGTTCTTCAAAATTTTATCACATGACAAAGTTATATCAGCGCAATGATCCCGTTGCTTGTATCAGTTTTTAGTCAGCAAGCTTTTGTTGTGGTTTAAAATCAAAACTAAAACTTGATGTTGATGGTGAAATAACCTGTAAAGGAAAACTCTTCTCTTTATGATATTTACCTCCTTTATTCTTTTATGTCTTCAGGTAAGACCACACCAGTGAACATGACTGGTTCATCTGACTCTTCCAAACCCTGTGATCCTTTCAAACCATTCAGTGGCGAGGTCATTGACCCTTTTCAGAGTAAAAAGGGCCTGGGAGACCCATTCAGCGGCAAAGACCCTTTTGTCTCATCCTCAGCATCAAGTAAACCCACTAAAGGCTCTACTTTGGGTTTTACAGACTTCAATTCTGTAAGTTGAGATGAGTGATACTGTTTAACTGTCAGTGTGCACAACAGGTGTCACAGCTCAGTGGACAGAGCCACACTACCACAATTACAAGGTTTCATTTTACTGCAATGGAAGGATCCTAATGAAGACTACTACTACTAAAAGTGCTGTTGAAGCACAAGACTTAGCAGAGTGTACAGTAATTTAGAATCCCAATGAGACAAAAACCCATCATCCTTTGGGTGTGTATGGTTGTCACTGTGTCCTCTGTTTCTCAGGACCAATTAAACAGCAGCTTTAAAGCAATTCAGCACAGCTGTTGTTCGTTCGCCATATGAACAACACCCCCATAGCCTTTCACCCCATGTTTCATTCTTCATATGGATGGACTTTATAGCTTTCATGACTGACAGTGTGTTAGGTGTTCAAAAAAAAGCTGGTAACAAAATTTAGAGCTGCTTATCAGGAGCTGTAAATGATGTTGACACTATGGACATACAAAATGAAATAAAGAAATTAATTTCTCTTTCATACAGAAATCTTCTCTCTATATGTATAACATATACATCTAAAGCAAATACATAAATAAACAAAGCCAGCATTATCCTCTTTCATCTGGCACTCTTATTATTATTCGTCAGATCTATTATTAACTATATTACTATAGTTACTTACATCTCACAGCTTTAAAAAAACATCCACAAGTTATACCTCCGTAAAAGTTATATCTATATGCCTTACAGGCTTAATGTAAGCATCAAAATGACCTTAGCATTGTCCTCTGTCATCCATTGTTATTCTTCTTATGATAGGAATTACAGTTCTCTCATAAATGCCACTTAAGCACAGACTCTTTAACCACCTCACAGCTCCCAAATTGTGGCTGAAAATCTTAAGAGCATGCTGTCTTTACACTGTTACCACATTCATATAGTACAGTATGCACACATATAAATTGCTGCCACTCATGGTGAAAGAATTTTTTCGAATATTGTAATTAATAGTTGTACCAACAGATAATAAAAAAAGTGTTCTTGCTGCTGAAAGTTAAAGCTGTGATAACACTATATAATATGAACTGTGACTAATGGTGAAGTTTCCCTGTAATTAAATAGAATTTAATAATATTTACTTACAAGTACTTAAAGGGAGGGACACTAGAATAAGAGGGTAAAAAGTCATGTTTTTAAATTAAACAACGGAACGATTAAACTATTAATATATATACTATAGATGGATGGATGGATACCCATCTTATATATTTCACAATGCGCCCGATATTTCTTGCAACCTTCAGAAGCCAGTTCGTCTGATTGCTCTTTGGGCAGCCTGTTAGAATTTATTGGATTCTGACAATCAGACTGGTGGTAGCATTACATTTTGATTTGGTTGTGTGGCTCAGCAGGTCATTTGCTAATCAGAAGGTTGGTGGTGGTCCAGTCCACATGCCAGAGTGTCCTTGGGAAAGATATTGAACCCCAAGTTGCTCCTGATGCGTTCATCGGAGTGTAAATGCTAGAAAGCAAGTCTCAGACAAACGTCCTTGTATGAATGTATGTGTGAATGAGACATGTTGTATCAAGCACTTTGAGTGCTCAAGAGTAAGGTAAAAGTGCTATATACAAACCAGACCTTTATTATTATTATTCAATAGTGGTATTATTCTGATTCTGATGATCATTATTTTTATTATCCTACCCTCTGCTAAAGTTCTGAAGCATAACTTGTCACATAGCTTTGCGAAACCCCTACAGAAGTTATATCAAAACGTAAATGCATAAAATATTAATCAAAACAAAGCTAGTTTTGTCCTCTTTCATCCACTTTTATTGTGTTAAGATTTACGGGTCTCTCATAAATGCCACCAAAGCATTACCTGCTGGTGCAAACAGTCTGTACAGCTGTCTGGTGATGTCACCCTTTCTCTCTCTCACTTGGGACATGGGGACAGACACATATACAGTACCATATAAGTCTTCTGATTTAAAGGTTTGTCTTTATATTCATGACTATTTACATTGTAGATTCACACTGAAGCCATCAAAACTATGAATGAACACATATGGAATTATGTAGTAAATAAAAAAAGTGTGAAATAACTCGAAACATGTTTTATATTTGAGATTCTTCAAAATAGCTACCCTTTGCTTTGATTACTGCTTTTCACACTCTTGGCATTTTCTCGATGAGCTTCATGAGGAAGTCACCTGAAATGGTTTTCCAACAGTCTTGAAGGAGTTCACAGAGATGCTGAGCACTTGTTGGCCCTTTGGCCTTCACTGTGGTCCATCTCATCCTAAACCATCTCGATTGGGTTTGGGTCAGGTGACTGTGGAGGCAAGGCTATCTGGTGCAGCACTCCATCATGCTCCTTCTTGGTCAAATAGACCTAACACAGCCTGGAGGTGTGTGTGGGGTCATTTTCCTGTTGAAAAATAAACGACGGTCCAACTAAACGCAAACTGGTTGGGATGGCATGTTGCTGCAGGATGCTGTGGTAGCCATGCTGGTTCAATGTGGCTTCAGTTTTGAATAACCCCCAAGAGTGTCACCAGCAGTTTACCAATTTTCCCAACTGACTGACCTTCAGTTCTTGAAGTAATGATGGACTCTTGTTTCTCTTTACTTAGCTGAATGGTTCTTGCCATAATATGTATTCTAACAGTGATCAAATAGGGCTGACAGCTGTGATGATTTTCTCCACTTTCCTCACCACTCCACTCGCAGTTCTCCAGCCTCTACACCACACAGAGATGCAGCTAGTCAAAATGCTTTCTATGGTACTACTGTAGAATGTAGTTAACATGGGTAGGCGTGGGTGAGCACTTCTTAACATTTAAGAAAGCTAAGTTAGGGTAACTTATTCATTGTGAGCACACTGAATTCTGAGCTCCACTGGAATGACTGAACTTCTTACCCTCTCTCTCTAAGAGAGGGTAAGAAGTTCAGGCCAACAACCTTTTGGAAAAGATTATTTCTGCCGCATGTATCATCACTTATAACCTCAGGTTAGAAAAGGGACATAGAGAGCTAAATTGAGAGTTTCACTTTCATGATCAGCTCTCTCTTCACCACGAAGAACTGACCTTAACGCAGGTTCAGAAAACACATGCAGACTTGGGCCAAACTCGCAAACGCAAATATCCCTGAGATGATAAAGAGACTAACGAATGAACTTTCCCTTCCACTACTCTGGCATAGACCTTACCAGGAAGGTTGAGCATTGTGATCCCTTTGTAGTTGGAACACACCCTGCGCTTACCCTTCTGAAAGATTGGAACCACCACCCCAGTCTGCTAATCCAGAGTTACTGCCTCGGATCACCAAGCAGTGTTGCAGAAGCGTGTCAACCAATACAGTCCTTTCACATCCAGAGCCTTTAGGAAATCAGGTCAACTGAACTTGTCCCATACCAAAGTTTTTCCTGCCCGGGTTGCAGCTGTCACCGGAGTTCCACATGCTATCCAAGCCCAATAGGACTCCTCCTTCAGCTTGATGGCTCCTTTCACCACCATGGAGGTGCAAAACATTGTCCATTTGGACTCAATGTCCCCAGTTTCTCTGGAATCCGGAAGTTCTGCCGCAAGTGGTTGTTGAAGTTCTCCTCTTCAGGAACCTCCTATTGGTGTGGGAGTATGCAAGAGAATCAAGAAAACTAGAGGATTATAGAAACCAACTCCACTTTAACCTAACCAAATCAGCATGTCAAGTAAAAGAATAACAACGATGTCAGCTTGAGAATACCCTTGTTTTACATTGATGTTACACTTCTTCTATTAATTGTATCTTGTAAAGCCAGGCTTATTGTGGTCTGAGTCCAGAAGAGTCTAGACATGAGACTTGCTAAATCCCCCCAAAATTTGCGGTTTTTCAAAACTGTGAGTTTTTCCTTATAAACCTTTGTTTGCCACTGTTGGAAGCCATCAAAGGAATCCTTAATAGCCCTCATTTTTGTTGGAAAAGATCTAAATTCTAATTAAAAGAACTAAAGTGTAATTACAGAACAGCTATTTATGTCTGTATCTAAGTATCTCAAAAGCCCACTTTAACTGTACCAAATAATCAAAGCCTTTAAATTTACCCCACCCTCTGTAATGGCACTACATAAACTGGCTTTAGAAATTACAGTTTGGTATTGACACTGTAAGGCTTGCAGAACTGCACTGCAGAGAGTCTAATTTTCATGTTGTGCAGGAAAGGGTGTCAGCACTTTGTGTGGTTTTTTTGTTTTGGCAGGAAGAATATCATAGGTGTTTTCAGGGTTTACCAAGACATTCACAGAGGCAAATGGGTTATATCAGTTGTGGTAGATCTGTTTTGTCATGAGTGTTACTCTGAATTAATTGAGTCACTGAGACTAGAACAACAAACACAAACCTGTTGTGATCTTGGAACGGGTTACCAATCCATGGCGAGGCAAGAGACAAAAGTTCACTCTCATGCTTGGATCCATTTTTAAATCCCCAGATAACCTAACACAGTTTATTCTATTTTAAGCCTGGGAATAACTTTTCTATCAGATTGGTTGACAACTCAGTTCAAATTTTCTGTTAGAATTATCTATTGAACACGAGACACCACAGTATCACTACTCAACTATCAGCTCTTGAGTCTGTCTGCCCTGCACGCTCTTGATGTTTGCTGCTATGTTTACGGCCTTTGTTAAACTACTTTGTTTTCAGTAGTTGATAAGTGTTTTATATTAACTGCTTATTCTTGTAATGCATGTCTTTGTCTTCCGTTACTGTTTTAGGTATTCTCATTATTCTCATGCATCTACTTCCATGTCTATCTTCAACCTGACACTGCAGCTAAGAACAGTGTCTCATCATCTGTCAATGCAACCTAACCTACATTCACAGCTTTACTCGTTAAATTGTAGATTAATACTTCGCTTTACTTAAGACATATGTCTCCTGAAAAACATCACAGTTCATATAAAATGTTTACAGAAAAAGTATTTGTAAAGTATTTGGTGTTTGGCCATCCAGACATTATTTGAACCAAGATGTACCATTATAAATTTGAATGGTTCTTGGATCTAATATTGGTATAACTACTATACTACTAAATCTACTACAGACAACACTTTTATTCCAGCCCTCTGGTAAGGGGACCTTTACATAAAGGTATGTTAGCTTTAGACTGTTCTACTTGATTTATAACATTTATTTCCACTTTTCCAAAATCAGGCAACTGCAGCACCAACACAAACAAAGACCTGTACTTCCTTCTTAAATTAAAAATAGTTTTTTTTTTAAAAAAAGTCATCTACTAAAGGCATAGCACGCTTTGCTTTTAGTAGATGACTGTTATATCTGCCAAAACTCATCATTTACATTGTGTTTAAAATACTCAGATACCGATTTGTCATCTACTTTCTCTCACTCTCTGCATGTCACATCTTTTTCTTGTAGAGGTCTTGTTAAGCTTTGCTTAGATCTTTGTGTTACACATTCCTGCTTGAAGGGATTCACTGGCATTCTGTTTCTTCACAGTCCAGCTGTCTTAGTTTTTTACTTTAGCTTCAATACCTTTTATCAGTTTAGAAATTACTGATTTTATATGATTTTTTTATAAACTGTCTAGTATCCTAATGCTAGTAGAATCACTTGATCTAAAAATTAATTACTAACAAATTGCTAAAAATAGTTTTTCAAAATGGACTGCACAGAAACTTGGCCAGTATCCATTTACATTGTCTGTTTGCTGTTGTGTGGTGTAACCAGCTTAGATCCATTGAAGTCAGGTGTTTTTGGTTATTAACTTCTCTGTTCTATAATCCAACTCTCTAACAGGACCTGACAAAGTCAAGGTAAGAAACACTATTACATTCATAAAATGATCATTAGGGAAGTGTTATCGAAAATGTTGTTGAATATTTGTTGAAGAGTAAGACAAGGATTTCAGATGTACAGTAATAGCAAGAGCTTTAGTTGCTAAACTAAAATGAATGATGTGTCAAAAAATACAGAAACTGTTTTTAATTTATTATATGAAAAGTGTTGTATACATATATCAAAGGGCAGAGAGTCTTCTACTTTTAAAGGTTATTGTAGACCCTGCAAGCAGATTTTTAAAATGGTATCACTAGGTAAAGGTTTGGACACATATGCTAGTTTGTATTCCTTTGTATTTTCTTCAATCTGCATGTCAAAATATTTTACACCATCTCAACTGGGTTTATTCTTGACATCAGATCATCTGATGGTCAAACATTCAAGGCTAATCAACTTTATTTTGACTAGACAAGACTACAATGAAAATTCTCTCATCTGGAATCATCAAATCAAAGTTGAGATTTTTACTCCTCTAAAGTTCCACTTATTTCTTCTTCTCCTTCTTGATTTATTTCACTATTGTTTCTTTACAGTAGTTTAACCAGAAAGACCAAATTTGCACATTTTGCGTTCAATACTTGATGTTAAGATGTACCTCTGTAAAATCTTAGTTTCTGAAAATGGTAACTGAGAAGCTTCTCCTCAGCAGCAAATGGTTTTAATCTGAAGTGGTTGGAGTGGTTCAAATGTTCCTCCATCCAAGTGTTTGCATCTTTCTGCATCCAAGTGCTAATACATGTCAGTTCTACTAAACCAGGGGTCGGCAACCTGCGGCTCCGGAGCCGCATGCAGCTCTTTAGTCCTTATAGTGCGGCTCTGCGTGGTTTGGGAATATAAATTAGAAGAATTTAGCTGAAGTGTATTTTATTTATGTTAGTTCTTTTTTAACTTGTAGTTCTAAATTGGAAGATTATTGTGATATTGAAATATAAAAATAAAAT